ACTCAAATATGTGTAAAAAAATTATCGAAAAACAACCAGAATTGGGCAGTAAGTTAGAAGAAAGTGCTGTTCTCATCTTAGAAAATTCAACGCAGCCTCCATGGGAGTTTTTTCGGGTTGGAGATGGGTACACGGACTTCTCATTACCCTTATTTTCCTGGTGATATTTAAGCACGTAGCCATTACTTAAGGCGGCAAGGCGTTGCTTAAACCTGCTACGCGTTTCACGTTGAGAAGGCTCATTGAGTGTACCTTGGATTGGCTTCAAGAAAGTTTATAATTTTTAAACGTTTAATATATATATCACACGATCCTTGAATGCTTTTTAATAGTTCTTCTAGTCATCGTCTTAGTAATTTGTCCTTAGAGCAGTAAATAAATCGGAGGAATTAGTTCCGAAATTACCGCATTTTCACTTTCTCCCTAATGAAAAAGTTCGTCAATCTAAATCGTCCACTTTCTTTGTGACCGTTTCTATGCCTGTGAAGAGCATAATGAAGCTTTTAGTCGCTTTCTCCACTCAACCTGGTTCTTATTTCTGAATCTAAATATACATATTTCCGGTGTCTATAAGCACTTGTTCTTTGGTCTAAAACTTGTGGGTTTTATAGCGAATAAAATTGTGCTTGAATCTTCTTGAACCTCTTTTGTGTTTTGGGAAAGGAATGAGCGGCTCTTCCGGTGGCAAGTAGATGTCCTACCGATCGTAGTGATGCTAGATCATTTTTACATTTTACTTCATCAACGTCTCGAATGAATGCCTTCCTCTCTTAAATGGTTGGTTTGGTTATTAGCCTGCTTTATATGCGTTGCAATGAATTTTAACACTTATCAAATGAACGCCATTTGCGCAGTCCGATTTTACTCATAATTTATGTTTCAAAAGTCGATGAACTTAGAGGGATTTCTTTAATCTGATTCCTAGGTATAGTTTTGTAAAATCCTCTTCGTTTGTTACGTCTGTTTCTTCCTTCCATCTGCCGAACCTTCTTCGAAGAAATTTCCAAGCGTGATTGTGGCGTTTCTGTTAGTGACAAAACAGTTATGTTAAGATAAATTTGGAGGTTGATTTTTTTAAACTACATGAAATTTATCAAGTCTCTTTCCTTGATGCAATTTTACCAAATTTTTATTTCATCTTTCAACAGGTTCGCGCCTTTCTAGAGGATCCTGAGGATCGCTGCAATCGAAATACATCTTTAATTGTTCCCGCCGAAGCAGAGGAAGAATTCCTTGACGAGTCCGACGATGACTTCGACCCCTCCTCCTCCACCCTTAAAGGCAATCTCACTACAAAACCTCACTTCCAACTGACCATGGAAAGTAATCCTGGGCGGTGGAATTCGGCCGCCGCTACCAACGGTGGCGGTGAAGGTCTCTACCCCACCGTCCGAGAGGTGTTACAGACCTCTCCCCTCCTCCTGCGTCGCCTCTTTCCGGGGACTTTAACTGCACTGGGACTACAGGAACAGAAGCCCCTGTCGCCACTTCCCAGTCGGTACCTGTTGCGCACCGGCCGAGTGGTGGGTGTGCTGGCCGAGGACTCTGCCAGTCGCCGTCTTGTTGGCAGTCTCGTCTTTGAGTCTGCTCTCCTCCTGCCCTCTGCATTCGTGGAGGCTGAGGGCCTGGATGAGTTTACTCGGCCTCACCGGGGCGTGATTGAGGGACGCGATGGTCTACCCGTGGCAGTACCTAGTGTCAACTGCTTCTTTGTGCCTGAGAGGATCCATGTCCCTAGAGTCAAGCTGGTCCCTTCATCTGTTCCTGAAGGTCTTACTTATTTGTTTTATACTTAAGTCGCAAGTTTTTTTTGGGGGTTAGCTGATCTTCCTGCTAATTAGATCCCACGTCTACTTTTTTTTTAATTTTTCTTTTGAGGAGTTCGTTTTTTTCGTGGTTGTAGTGGATACCATCGCACTTGAAGGTTAATAAGTGCAGTTTTAGAAGCACTTGACACTTCGTTACTTTATTTTTTCTCGACCCTATGAGTGAACACTTCTTATGCTGTCAGGTGAGCAGAGAGTGATGTGGGAATTGTGCTGTACTTTGAGAGTAATCGCCACTAGCATCACCACACAAGAATTGTTTCTTTACCACTGCATCATTATCTGTATGGTTTTTTGACAATTCCTGATACTGATTTACTAAAACCGGTTTTCATGTCGACCGTCTGAAAGCATAGCTTTGGGTTCCGTTTATCCATGTGATAAATCGGGAGAGGGAAACCTAAACGGAACATTTTTACTATAATGGCTTTGTTAAGGCAAAATGAGATCCATATGTGTAAAAGCTCTAAACTATTTGCGATTGCTCACGCGTATGACGTGAGTATGGTCAGAAGAGGAATGTTTTACCTAAGACCGGTAGTTGCTTTTTCTCACTATTTTTCTGCTTGATAGATCTTTGGGCGAATCCTCACAAGGCAGAGGGTGTTCGGTACCTTTGCAAAATTCAGGATTGGCCAGCCACCTCGCCTTATCCCAAGGGGTAGGCTTCTTCTCCCGCTACCAATTTATAGCTTTTTGCCCTGCATAACGTTGACATCATTTTATCCCTTCTCACTCTCCCATTTTAGGATCCTCTGTGGACAAATTGGCGATCCACGGGAGATTGAACCAGCCACACAAGAAATTCTCCTATCGCACGGCATTTGTGAGGATGAGTTCACTGAAGACGTATGTGCTTTTTTAGTTTTCTCTGATTTCCTTAAGCACTGCTAGACTTCGGGCCTTATCATCACTCACAAGTACTTCTGCTATTCAATTTAAAACCATGAATGGGTGAAAAGTCGCAATTTTTAAAATGCGTTTCAGTGCCGTCTGCCGAATAAGTTGATAAAACTGTGGGATTTAGTGTTAATCTTACTATGAATGTTTTAAGGAGCAATGTGGACACAGTCTTCACTCTCAATGTGACACGATCTTTATCAGGTTTTGCCGTGGGACAGAACCGTACAAATAATTCATTTGCTTTTGTCGGAGGTTGAAAATGTGCACCAATATCCAAGGCGACGCCTGATTCGAAGTGCCACGTAATAATACGACGTTACCTTCTTAATAAATGGCTTAAGCTCGACACATGTGAAAAAAATATTCTTTTGCCATTGTTTTTATTACCTTTATCATACCCATCCTTCCGATTTCTTCTCCACTAACGGTATAAGAAAGCCACTGTCACTAAATCCCCTATGAAACTGCGTCTTCTTGGTGGGGAGGAACAAAACACTAAGCAGTCATTTCATCTTAATGACCTAGTATTTTTTTCAACTGCGTTTGAATTTTGCAAGCAACTGCAGTTACGTTTTCATTTGTGTAAATAAGAGGGATTTGTGGAAACCTACTGAGCTGCTTAGATACCATCTTGCTCGATTGCTTCTTCAAGTGACGCCTTTATATTGTGCTCTTCCTCACCCCTATTCTTGCAAGATGTTGAGGGATCTGCCAGCCTCTGAGGAGAAATTTCAGATCCCCAACTACGAGTACTTGCGCAGAAAGGACTTTCGCTCGCACTGCGTTGTCTCTGTAGATCCCTCTACGGCCAAAGACCTCGACGATGCTCTTCACGTTAAGATGTTCACGAAGGGTAACCAACTGTTGAGGCCACGCCTCATTTTGGCTTAATATTAACCAAATAATATTTGGTTATCAGTGATATTTTCGACTTTCAAGTCATCCTTGAAAAGTAATGGGACACACTAGGCTGAAAGTAGGCTTTGTTATCAGTGAAAAGTAGGACTGGAAGACTATTCACGGAGGGGTGACACGAGCAGAACGCCACGACACCAAGATGGTGACGGCAACTGGTGGAGACTAAGGTCCTCGCATTGTTGATTTGAAAATCAAAAATAATAGTTGTGTTACTTTATTAAATTAATTAATTATTGAGGATTAAAGTATGCAAGACTGGTCGGTCGATGGAGCCACTTAGTTCACCAGTGAAAGCTCAATGATTTGGCTTAACAGTCTAGGCGCCTTCGTACCATTTGACGGCATCCACCTTGTTTATGTGTAGCGGCTCTGTTTCATTAAGATATTAGGTGGATAACCAGACTTGCAACTCCTTCACTTTTGTTAGAATGCTATCGTTATGCATTGCAACAGGTTGTGTTACTTCATTCAAAAAGTGTGGAACATGTTCGACAATAGTTGAGCGCTTTCGTTGCTAGAAAGGCATGGTTTGAGGGCTACACGAACAGTTGGCTGGGGCACACACTGTATAAGAGAAATATGGGCGAAAATAGTGTTGTCATAAGAACGATAAGAAAGCGTCCAGGCAATGATGGTTGATTTGACCCTGAGACTGCACCAAACACGTCAATTTATCTACAAATCACTGTGGGAGATTACTTAGTGCTCTAGGACAGATCTTCCGTGTAATATACTTGGCGTAGGGCAGAAAGTTGTTGCTTAAATCGTTTTGCTTTTTAAATACTCCTTCACTTCAGAGTGATAACCCATACAATAAAATGTGGAAGCAACAGAAATAATCAGCAAACATTTTCAAATTACACAAATCACTTCCTATCCAGCCTTTACCGTTTTGAATGAAAGTGATGAGAGTACGAGGTCTGTTGGATGAGTCAAGCAAAATCCGAAGATTCTTAGCTGCGATATGCACTGAGCAGCTTTAGAAATGACCAGTTTATGGCAATTTTGTTGATCATACGTGCGATCCAACTTCAGTGGATACTGTGAGGCTCCATTTAATTCAGGAGGTATTCATAGAATCGTACTGCGCAGGCTGTAATGTCGCAGACTGAGTGTATTACAAAATAATGTCCATTATGTACATAGGACGCCTTAGCTCGGTGCCAAGATGGTGTCATCAGAAATTTCGAGTAATTCTAACAGTGGTATTTCTCCTGCTTCACAGACGTTTTTGAAGTTGGTGTACATATTGCCGATGTGTCTTTCTTTGTGCGACCAATGACACCCCTGGACCAAGAGGCAGCAAACCGAACAACTTCCATCTATCTTGTCCAGCGTGTACGTCTTCTTTACCCAATACATTTTAACACTGCTTCGTAACGTCCTGTAATAATCTATTTTTATGCCATTATGATGACTTAACCTATGCTAACGTTTTTAATAAAGGGTGGATAAATTCTTGTATGATTTATTTCTTTTGTCAGTATTCATAAATTCAGCTTTTGAATCGTTCTAGTAACTATGTTTAATTCTCGCCCTCAAGAACAGCTTGATGCGTATTTTCCTGCTTCTTTTTCATGGTGTTTGCTCGCTATGATTCATGTGGATTTTCCCAACAGTCTGCCAGCCACATTTCTGCTTTCGTTTTGACGCCGATCATCTTGTCCAACCTCAAGAGTTTAATCAAACAAGTGAAAAGAAAGATAAATAGTGGTTCACCTAATTTATTATTATTTTTGTTCATTGAATGCGACGACTTATAAGCCTACCAATTATGTCACTACATTGTTGCATCGCCTTGTCTTAAATCAGTGCCTAACTTTTTTCAAAACAAGTAGAAATTGCATCCTTTGTTTGTGATCTCATATACCTCGATTTGTCCATAAAATGGTTGTTATAACCTTTAACCGAGCTACGTTTATAAATGGGTTAGTAAAAGTGCTCCTGGTCTCGCGAATAATTATTGTATTATCAGCCGGGTCAATTTTGACTGAGGTGTTTTCTACCTTGTTATTAGATGATTAACTGCCTTCCGTTTAACGTAACATCTCCCCATCTCTTAGGTTATCCCGATGCTGCCTGCTATTCTTTCGGAGCGCCTTTGCAGTCTAAATCCGGGCGTTGATCGGTTGACCTTCTCCGTCGTCTTTAAGGTCGACAAAGAGGGAAATGTAAGTAGGTTTCCCCCTATTCCACATTTTTCACCCAAACGGATAATTTATAAGTACCGATGAATTTGGGCAAAGTCGGTTAAAGGGATTCACGATTGAGCTTTATTAGAGCTAACAAATGTAGATTGTACCTCATCTTAATGCATTTTCCAGACCTTGGTAGTAGTAATAGGTACTGCGCAAGTCAAATGATGGGCAAACGTAAACCGAGCTGAGGCATCAAATTAAATTCTTGTTCTATTAGCGCCAATCCACTGTGCGCAATTCGGTGCAAGGCATTAAACATTTGATTAAGGGGTGTTTATTTGGTGAGGCAAATTTCTTGCCTTAAAGATGTTTCACAGAGAACTCATTCAACATCCTATTCCTCAAAAATCAATTTAAATCACAGGAAAAATTTATCCTCCTATCCCAACCTCCCTCATTCGCATTCTATTAAAGTATTATTCAACCGCCTATTTAGGTTATCCACTGCTTCTTACAAAATATAGAAGCACTACCTGTGTAAAATTTTACACATCAATGGTTGTGCAGAACAGCGACGTTTTCTCCTTTCGTCTATTCCTTACCCGTCCATCATTACTAGACGATGTCAATCCAAAACCTTGCAAACAAATCCGAATAGTGAGCTACTCTTTCCCTAGGTATGAGTGACCAATGCAGATAGGAACTCTATGGCAAGGCTTGGAATGATCGACGATTTCAGAATATCGTGTCGTCGGAAATCACAGAAGAGTCGGAGAAGCGTGTCTCTTAAGCTTTTAGTTTCGATCTATTTTCTGTGGTAATTACCGTGTCAACTCAATTTTAAATTGAGCTTAGCTGGCACACTCTCCTAGCGAGGTGTCTGAAGCATGCAGCTAGACATTTCGACCCTATTGCTTAAAAACTTACTCAAATAAATGAAATAGTAAAGGAAATCTTCTCATTTAGTCGTATTTTTTCGCCTAATTTTTCTGTGTATCTACCACAGGTGTTGGACGTGTGGTTCGGCCGCTCGGTGATTCGGTCGTGTGCGCGCCTCTCTTACGAGGATGCAACAACTCTGCTTGAGACTCCGCACGGAGAGTTGGACAATCTTGCCTCTCGTATCGCTGTCCAGAGACCTTTCTCACTCTCCAACATCAAGCGCTCCATCACCTATCTCGACATGGTGAGTATCTCTCCCAGCGATTTATGAAACCTAACGCTACCTTAGGAAATCGGAGCGCCAATAAATAGTGACTCATCATGAAATTAACACCACTGACATTTTCCACCCTTGTTAATCCTGCAAGATGCACTATAGTTGTCTTTATTGTTGTTTTGGTTTCTTCTAATCTCTATCATACGATCAGAATCACTATTAAAGGTTGTTATGAGGCGAAACTGTCGTTTGAGTGTTCCAGTAATGGAGGATGCGTAAACAAACGCAAGGTTTGTATTTTATTCCCTCTTTTTTGTGCAATTGGTGACTCAATACTGTCACAGCCACTTTACATTCACTACAGTGAACATATCTATAGCCCTCTGATTCAATTTTCTGGATTTTGGAAAATAGGCAATGAATTGTGTACTGCTATTGGTTTGGGAACACTTTGTTCCTGGAGTAATGCACTTTAATAAAGCATGGGATCAATTGATTCTTTAGAAAAATTCACAAAAATGTAATTTGCCAGACATCCATTGAAGGGGCCCTATTCTCACCACCGTGTAGGCTGAATGATAGTTTGTCCTCAAACACAGGCCATGTACATGTTTCTGGGAGAACACATTTGTATTAGCACTTACTTTCTCGGGCAAGTAGTCATTTTGGGGTGCTGAAACGAAATCGCCTCTAACATGCTCCCTATCACAATCTCTCAGATGGCCACTACTGGTCAGATGCCTTTATATCACTCTTACTATTAAATACTTGCACTATTGAACTTACCGACTCAGCTGAATTTGCTATTTAAAAATTAAAAAGATGCCATCATCTCCAAATCAAACCAACCAACCAACATGCGTTAGTGAAACTTTTCGTCGTAAAATGCTGGCGAAGAGATGTCACATATTAGTGACGCTAGGTTGATATAATGAAACTGGGGCATCATACGCATGTGAATAAAGACTTCTATAATCACTGTATTTGCCTAATAATCCAATCACCATTTTGCTTTTTGTGGGTGAGGTAGTTAGCTCAAAAGATGCGAAAAAGGCGGGTCGAAAATGGGGCGCTGCTATTGGACAAAGTTCAACTGCAATTCGATCTCATCCCCAAGGAAGCGGAGATCAAGCAATTTCCGTAAGTCCTTTACGTTTTTACTTCCTTTCGCTGTGGTCGGGTTGGAGATTTGTAACTTAAATGGGGGCATCAACTTTGCTTACATAACTGCATTTCTATGCTGGTTTTACTAAGATAAAAGCGATTCTTTTTGTTCGGTCTTATTTATGCGCGTGTGCATCTTATGAGCATTACTTTGATTCAAAGCGTAATGAGTCAATCCATTAGTGAACCTGAAGCGCTTTTCACCACATGAGTATTTAGGCTGGATAAAATTGCGCTTACTATAATTCATCTATCAATGCAAATCGTTTCCCATAATCACTTTACAGCGCCTTTTTTTATAATTTTGACACCTTGATTGGACTTTCTAATTTCGATGGACTGGTTAAATGGATGCAAAACGCTCGATCATATGGTTTACCTCAGTCTGCTTCGTAGGTCGTCTCACGATGGTACCTTATCGCTTTGTGTAATCCAATCAGCCACGGGGTCATTCTGATTTCACTTGGTGTTAACCTTCAGTACTAAATCAGTCCGTTAAATGGAAGTTCGGATTTCAGTACTGTGATTTATTATTCGAAAGTTGACTGCTTTTGTGCGTTGTCAAGTAGATCTTTCACATATTTTAAGAATGATATAGTTTCTGTTGTCTTTGAGCTTTACACTGGTTTAGTACTCCCAAGGGTTATTCACGAAAATATGGCTTTCAACACGGTTATAAGATGGTGCTTTTGCACGTAAGCTTGGGTTATGTCCAACTCCCAACCTCAGCAGTCAATAGGCAAGACTCCGACGGATACAGGTAAGCAAGGGAATGTGGCTCTAGCGTTCGTGATAGCTGGTTGGCCAGGGGAAACCCCTGGGACTTGGGGCGAGAGTGACACTTTATAATTTTCAGCAATTAGTCACGGAAACGGAAACCTCAACTTTGCTACTTTTGTTGGTACTCCTCTCCGTAGATCATTCTCGACGATTTATCTCATGGACGACCTGTCATCTAATCACCGATATTTTTCACCTGGTACAGTCTTGTGAAGGATTGCTCTCTTGAAGTGTTTTAACAACATTAACGTTGCCAGCTCTGCGCACGGCACTTCTTCGAAGGAAGCGTTGGAAGCAGACTCTAAGAAGCTAGTGGAAGGTGGAGAACCTATCGAACGACCCCAAGTCTGGCCGGCGGGCTGGCCGCGGGGTTACGCAATAAAGCAGAGTGGTCGCGCTCACCACCTCATAGAGGAGTGGATGCTTGCGGCTAACCAGGCTGTGGCACGGCGCCTCTTCTACCACGTCATCCAGCAGAAGCACCAGGAGATCCTACTCAACGCTGATGTCAACACTGTCACCACACCCACCATGACCGCCGCGGTCGGGTCCAGCGCGGCACACCCCACTGGAGTGGAGAGATCAAAGAGCTTACGAACCTCTTCCATGGGTACGGTCCTTCGACGCCATCCTGCTCCAAAGGTGTCCAAAATGGAAGAATTGGTGAGAAAGTCTGTAGGCTTTAGTGCTTTTTATGTGTATTGATAGGTTTGCTCAGTGTTAATTGGCGTGCTGCCTGTCATGTGTGCAGCATGTTCGTGCTACTCTCCATAAAATATCCGTCTTCAGTTCCAAGTTCCTTCTTAAAGGAACGTACAGGTTTGCATGATGGTTCAAGTTAGAGTAGGACTTTTGAGTTTGTAAGGGAAAAGAACTATTTGTGAGGAATGCCAACTGCTGTTGTTTTTTGCATGTACTTCTGCTGCATTAAAGCACAGCGTCTAATTTACACCGGGAATGCTATAGGGTAGAATGATTTGCCATCCGGATTAACCCTTCCTAAGACACTTAAAGTGCGCTAATGTTGGGAAAGAATCGTCTCTTGTTTAATTTCGCGACGGATTACGCATCAATCTGGCATTCCACGAGATAAATTTTCACAGGGGTGACAACTGTGCTGTGGGCAGGATGTCATCACAACCGGGATCGTTGCTGACAGAAGAATGTAGTCATCTTGGACACCTTTACATCATTCACATGTCTGTGGGAGGAGTCAAGCACCCCGCTACCGTAGCGCCCCGTAGTTGGTCTTCTTTAGGCACGAGTCCGGGTTTTACATTTTTTTGTTTACCATCCATTGTTCTATGTATGCATCCACTACCAATGTTGCATGCTGTCTCTTTTATTGGTTCCCGAAATGGACCGGCCCACCACATGTCCGTCATCTGTCACTGGCAGGACAGACATGCTTCAAATTTACGGCTGCATATAGTACTGCCGCGGTAGGAAGCCTTTTTATAGGCGTGAAATTCAATCCTGGTTTGACTCGGTAAGTTCGTTGATTTGACCAGAAGACTGTTTCCCTTATCGTAAAATAAAGATCAGATACCGTCAGTGTTTGATACAAATAGCTGGGCTATTTTCCACCAGAGGTCATTTGGTTTTGTGGCCAAGATAGAATTGGAGGCGTCCTAAGAATTTGCACAATCAGAGTTGGTATTCCACTCCCAAAGGGCGGAAGAAACTGGAGTGCACATACCCGTGATTGTAGTCGTTGAAAATAAGAATGAATGAATTTGAAAATTAATTTGATTCTTTGGACGGGGGCAGAGTCAAATGCAGGGGACATTCAAGACTGTTTAAATCTTTATCTTTTTTATGCCACATTGATAGTTGGTCAACCCTTTAAGAGTTGCGGCTTGATGTATTGAGGAGGGAACATCTTTATCTGCCAACTCACCTCCTTGGCTGAATTTCCCCAATTTCACCTATTGTTGGGTCTTTTGACATTTTCACGACTATATAACGTTGCTAACTGGTTCAAGAAGCTCTTTTCAATCGGCGATTCAGGCTTTCTTGTCGAAACACGAATCCAATCAAGTGCACAATTAAATTGGGGACTGGTAAAGGAAGAATCACTAAAAATGTTCCCATCATTTGAAAGAGAGGAAGCCAAATGTGAGTATCGAATCTGCTTACGATGCTCTGATTCATGACATCCTTAAGTTTACCAAAGCATGTATACTGAAAGGGTACCTGAACATTCGCCCTTAGGTGGGATATGTTCCCAAACAATAATGGCGATGATTTATCGCAGTGCCTATTCATCGATGATGAAATGGAGTAGCGTCGTACTTCGCTGTACAAGGCTCAAAGACTTCTTGGATGTCGCTTTTATGCTACCATTATTCCGGAGCTCAACTGCATTGGCTGAACATTCGATGGTAGTAAGACGTTTTCACCTTTTCACTGGTTACCGATTTGTCTACGCCTTGTAACAGTTACTGTGTGTGAATTTGTAATTAAAAATCGCTTTTCATAAAGTAAGAAGCACTTTATGAACAGTAAGAAGCGCTTAAACACCTCGACGGAGTCAACACAACGACGGCTAAATTTTACCTTAGGACGGTAGATTGTGTTAGAAAGCATAAATTAGCAAATGGGTGTGCAATTGAATTACCCTAGGGTATAATTCCCTTTTCCTGCTGCATTTGTTTACAGGTCAAGATCGTCAGCTCCGCGGGCATTGCACTGGACACCACGTCAGGTGGAGCGATACGTGTAAGTTGAGATGGGGCGAACAAACAGAAGATAGACTATTTATTCCTTCAGACGTTAGTACTATCTGCCAGCTTCCATGATTTTATTACAAAAAAGGAACGTTTGTATCATTCGAATCATTCTTCTTAAGTTGTTACAATGTGATGTAATGTGCTGGAAGTTGCTTTGTTGACAGCTTGCGGAAGAACAGGGAGACTAGCATCAAGGCTACACATCACTAGCATGAGGACCGAATCTTGAGAGACAAAATGGCCTAAGCAGATAGTTTATCCTTCCTTACCCTTCGTTAGAACGCCGAGGGGGGTTCACGTCTGCTTGCAACAACAGCCTTGCCCCAGACATTGTCACAGTGCTTTTTTCCCTTCAGACTTGAATAGAACTGCCAACTGTTAGTCGTCCTAAGGTAGAAAACACTTTGCAGGAGTCAGGGCAGAACATGTGTGGGATGATGTTATGAGGTTTAATTTTTTGACCACCTTTTCTATTCCTGTCTATGTAGACTTCCCTGGACGCCTACATCGCGAGGCTTCGAGAGCAGGGCACGCCAGAATCTGAGGTGGAGAGCCTCTCCACGGCATTGAGCTACCTCACCTATATGCGCATGCAGGTAGGCCGTCCGGTTTCCACTTCCATGTGTCACTGACTCATCACTCGATCGGCTTTATCTTGTCTGCACCTTACGATTTGTATAAGTTCACATTCTCTATGCGGCTTCCTGATGTCTGCTTAACAAACAAACCATTCTGAGGTAATTATTGGCTGCTGGTCCTACAGAATTCCAGGTTTCGATTCAGTGAAATGTTTCACTAACTCTGCCACATACTCCCCTTGTTTTTTTTTTTGAGGGGGGGGGGGAGTTTCACATTCACTTAGTTGAAATTCTTGTTTTAGTGACAAAATTTGTCATGCTATGAGAGGAGTTTCGAGTAAATTAATCGTTGATGGCTCCAGATGGGAGGGACAAGTGGCATTAGACTACTCCATCATTGCACAGGAAATGCGTGAATTTTGTGGTTTGAACAGTTTTACACCTATTACATGGCTTTTTAGGGTCTCTGAAGAGGGTTGTCACTGTTATGGTGTTGGTTTTGCGTATGCTAAAGCTCCGACGAGAAGAAGTAGGTCAACAATTTGTCATCATCTGTCTAAGCCGTTGACAACATGAGGATTATTTAGGTCTAGTGTTACTGCCTCTAGCCAAAACTGTGATGTTCGTGTAAGCGACATATGACTAAGGCTATTTAGTGGTAGGCTTCTGTTAATCGCGTTTCGTTATTCTAGAATTCAGGCCATCGAACAGTTATTATTACCAAGCAGCTTTCCACAAATGATCTGCTTCTCATTCCTTTGGTGTTGTGGGACTATCACAGTCAAATTGAAGTGTCAGAGATTACGGGTACTCGAACTTAACATAACTTGAGGAAATTGAAAATCATATTTTCCCCAGTAATACGTTGGCAAAAATCAACGAGCTCTATTCAATCCACTGCGTAAGCTGTCTGCTTAGCTTAGGCTGATAATGATGGGATATGTCGATGTGCTTCCACAGATGGCGCTGTACTTCAGCGTGGAGGACGTAGTAGACCGAGCCATCAGGAAGGTGCGTAACGGTGAAGATGCAGCAATGTCATCATCGACCTTGGATACAATGGAGACGGCACCGTCCTCTTCCACATCGCACGAGTCGTGGGAATCTTCCCTACTTAAATTCTCTCACCACTTTGGCCTCAATGTGCCGCTGTACACACACTTCACCTCTCCTATCCGCCGCTATGCTGATCTTCTCGTCCACCGCCAACTGGCTGACCTGCTGGGCTGTGGCCACTGGTCATGCCCGAGGCCCTCCATCTCCCCCGCTCCCTCTACAGGCAGCACTTCCACAGCCCCATGCGCGCCGCGTCGACTGACTGTGCAGGCAGCATGGTGCAATCGCATGCGACGCGAGACGCGCAGGGCTCAAGAGGAGAGCCAACAGCTCTTTCTCGCCGCCTGGATCAAGGTGAGTGTTATAAGAGGTTTGCCATTGTTATAAATTGGGGCTTTTACGAGCGAGTCATCTGGATCCCATGGCGGTCACCAACCAGATACTCAATGGTTAAGACTTTAGGATGTATGCCTTTATTGGATAACTCGAGCAAGTCAACACAAACATTTGACATACGTACGCAGGACTACTTACAACTGTCTTAGCCTTCCACACATGTAGTAGTGAATTGACCTCGGGACTAGAGCATCTATTAGTGCACTCAACGTATACCTAAACGTAGTCTCGGCCAATCTGAAGGGAGTGAGCTAGGGCGCACTTTCCAGAATGTTTAGAACTTATCAATAAAAATAGAAAGTTGTGGTACATTGGGTTTGGACACTTTTCTAGAGTTGCAGATATATCCAGCAGCGAGTTCTTCTTCCCTCCACTCTTTTGCTCTTTCTCAACGCAAGGGGTGTCCAGTATATTTGACTGTCTCTTACATTGGTGCCATGGTAGCCTAATTTCCACTTGTTTTTCCCATGTTATGAATTCTCTCAGTTCTAAAGTCACATACTTTCTTGTTGCATACGGGCACCGATGTTTCAGAAAGGCACTATCAAAATGAAACGCACCGAGTTGCAGAATATTCCGTTTGAGATACCGGCTTTTTCAACACCTTTTGTACCTAATGCTCTCCGTCAGGGCTTATTTATGGTTGCTGTGAGTCCTAAAAGCATGAAAATGACGTGCTGTGGACTACGCTTGTTGTGATGAGCCGTTAAATTGGTTTATCCAGCTTTGAATACCTGCCTTGTTGTGTCTTCGGATTGCGAATGTAGTGTGTGTGCTCTAAAAGGTACTATTTCAGTCCAGACATCCCATTTTTAATAATGTCATGACACCAAATAAACTAAAAGAAATGTAGCCGTCCTCCTCAGACCTGAGGCACCCTACCTCTACATGACCACTTTGAGCTCAGCCAATCTGTTTGCAACTGGATTTGGTGCCACTAGTCATCATAAACAGCTAAATGTCAAGTGTCACAAGTGTATAACAGTGGTGGCGAAATAGCTAAAGGTAGTTCGAAGGGCCATAATCAAGGTTCACAAAGTGTGCTTGAAATAGCGACCGTGAAATATTTTATAGGACAAACGAGCCATGGTAGTAAGTTAATGTAATCGGACAATTCAGTTATTTTTAATCGACTCTGAAGGAGTATTCACTATTTTTTTTGCCCTTTTCAGTCGAGTGGTTCGGTGCAGGAGAATGCGGTGGTGCTGGGTTTGGGCAGCAATAAAGTCCAGCTTCTCATTCCTTCCTGCGGTCTTGTACTCAATCATCAATTACAGAAGGTTGGTCGATTTAACATCATCGTAGGTAGGCACACTGAGTTCATTTAAGCAACCAATTTTATTTTGCGCAGTTTTGTCGTAAGGCCTCCAGTTGGCAGATGGGTAGCAATAGAGGTGCTAATGGCGATACGACTCATGCCCCATGTGTCATCGTGGAGTGGAATGAGGCGGAAGGGGAAGAGGGAGAGGCGAATGAGAAAGTGACAGCTGCTGCCTCTACCACCACAAAACTCTCTATCCTCTCCGTGTGCCCTGTTCGACTGACCTGCAGTTCGATGGGCTTCTACGTGAAGGCTGAACTTTTGCCCTCTTCGAATCCCTCACTGCGGGTGCCGTCCAAACTTGAGACGGAGGAGGTGTTAATGGATAACATATGTACAGTTGGATCTGATGCCAAATAATTTTATGCCAAAAGTCTACTAAGTGCATTTTTGTACCGTGTATAGGTACCTATTTTACCACCATTATGATTTTAGATAGCAAAAGAAATCCTTGCTGATTTGTATTACTTATTTATTTGGATAAACAGATGGCGTTTTTACATATTTTATTGCTAGAAACAGTTGTCTTTACATGAAGTTGTAGTTCTAGAAGGTGAGGTTTTTTTATTTTGCTTTTTATGCTCGGTTCGGGTTCTTGTCGCATGTTACTCTTTAATAATAGACTAAAAGCAAACGCAATTATTTATACACAGGTGGATTGAATGGATCAGTAATCACCTAGTCTTCTCGAATCAACAACTTGAGAACAAGTTTCTTTATGAACGCTGTAAATAGTGAAGAGGCACGCCATGTCGAGGCTTTGACCTGGTCCCTGTATAGCGTCTTGCCTATTCTGGGGAGACGGTTCAGGGTCCATTCAAAACAAGTCGCAGTTCCTCCGAAATGTCCGTTCGTGAAGCTTGTAATACCGGAAAATCCGGAAGGAGGTAACAGAAAGTTCACTATGGTACTTTGTGGGATGGGTGAGATTGTGATAGCGGTTTACACGAATCCTGTTCTTGTCTGGCTTTCGTAATTTTGCATTCTAAATCGGAGCTAAGTTAGATCCACTTTGTTTCATGTTATTTAAAAAACGGCTTCTTTCAGTCAAATGATGTCTTTGATTTTGAGAAATTGAAGGAGACACTGATGACTAATCAGTCTTTTCCACGTTTACTCGAGATCCACAGTGCTGTTGCCCTTGTCTGCAATCCAGTAAACCGCCCATTGGACATAATTTAGCCCCGCAGTCGATCTGTCAATTTCGCTCTCAAGGTCTTTATCTATAAGGACTCTACACTACTTGAGGCTATGTAGCCAAAGCTTCATCAGTGAATAAGAGTTATTTTATGGTCATATTTGTGCAATATGGATGAGAAGCGTGGAATTGCATTTAAACGAGGTTTTGAATGTTTGGTTCATTTTTAATGGCCAAAACTGATTTGTATTATGCAAAGCCATTTAACCTACTTAAAGTAGGCAAGTTAGTTACGATAATATCCGGTAGAATACCAAAACCATCAATCATTTATGAATTTTCTCCGAAACTGTTGCGCGTTCTGGTATTGGCAGAAATTTTTTTCAGCTTATGAATTTTTCATGGTTAAAACTGCACTTATTGGAATCGCAGGGGTGTAATTCATCACTTCAGTGGTTAACTGCCATAACTCCCATGTGCAATGGCGGCACCTAGAAAAACTTGCCAACTTTTATAGAAGCGACTTGGAGAAGAAAAGAACCCACCTATCAATATGAAATTACAGTATTAATTATCACAGGTACCTCCTTTTTGGTTAACCAGGACCATGTAAATCGAGTGTTATTTCTCAAATTCTTGCAAACTGTGCAACAAGGAGGAAAAATTTGGCAAGAAGTTACCTTAGGGGTAGGACTTTGTGCTAACACCTTCACAAAAACCCCTTTCGCCCTTTACTAATGTATTTACTCAAATTAGAGTAGCATGACCCGCCGCCCACCCCACAACACCTGACTCAAAATTTGTGAATGCTTCAAAAGCGGAGTTTCTAACACCAAGCATCCTTTGTCGTATCCTACAGCCATGCTTGCTTAGGTTTATAAAATTGGTAGGCAGATAGACACCTACTGCTACCTAAATAAGTGCTAGCGCTGTCCAGATAAGCCCTTTGAAATCAAAACAAAAGTGGGCGATTTCTTTTAAATGATTACTGTGAGTTGTTGCAAACAGCGTTATTTCGAATAGCCCACTTTTTAGAAAATTTGAACTTGTATAGCTTGCCATTTTTAATCGTCAGCCGGTATAATTCGCCTTTTTTAAAGAGGTTATAGGAGGAGTTCTTTTGGAAAGTCGACCATATCTCGCTAATAATAATTCAAAGGTAGAAACAACTGTAGGGCCTCGAGCCTTCCTTGAAGACGGAAGAAGACACAATACTCGGGCAGAATGTGTATTGTCGACGAACTGAAGGGTTTGGGGCTACTAGTATGGTCTGGAGGCCAGGCTGTCCATCAGATTTACAACAGCGGAGCCCCTAAGTAGTCCATTATCAAAGCCGAGATTTATGCAACCAAGGTATTAAACAGCCATATTGGTTTGACGGCCTTAAGTTGATGCAAAACACAATGCTTCAGTTGTTTGTGTAACTTTGCGTTTTGGGACGTAGGCACTAAAGGACACGGCCATCGTACATCCACCTAGTGACATGGCCTACGGACCATGCCAATATCCCCTCAGTCCGTCTGGAAGTCTCGACGCACTACATTGGTGGGAGTGGAAAGGGAACTTACTCATAAAGGACGGCTACTTCGACCTCTATTACTAAATGATATATCTTAACGTGAGGAAAGAAGAGTATTTGCCACGAATGGAAGAATCTCTGGCGACCCCTAACAAGGCTTGAAAATGACATCTACCTTCGACAACTACCCTGGTCCAGTTTTCTACAGGAATGCCATTAACAACCGAAGCGACACTTGCCTTGAACCATCTTGAAAAGTCGGTTATGGAGCTGTGTGTAGCGCCTGTGTGAAGGTG